CAGTAAGTTAAATCTTTGTGTACGAAACAAATTGATTTCCAATTTTGTAGATGTCACAATTCATTAGAACCCGGAGGGCGATGACTTCTACACCTAGTCCGACGGCTACACCTAGTCTGACGACTACACCTACTACTGCCACCACTGCTCCGGCAAAGATGGACCATAGGCTGGTCAATCCGATTGACCCAGTTGGTCCTCCAGTCCCACAGGCGCAGGCATCGTCGACTTTTTTGGTGGCGTTGCCTGTTAGCGCTCGACGTACTCACCGGCGCCCCCGCACTACGAACCAGATGTCGCCATCGGGATCCACAACCGATGGCCTGGGTACACGGCCAGGTATACAATCCTAATTCACTCCCTCATTCCCATGTTAACTGAGTTGTTATTTTAGGTTCATTTTGTTATGTCATGTCATGTAAGGATTAAAAAGTTGTCATCGTTCCGAACCTTTTATTAAACTGTTGTGATCATTGTGTTGGATACGTATATTGTTTATGTTATTTTCAGGGTTTTGGGAAATGTTTTAATTATAGGGGAGGTTATGCCGAAATTTTAGTAGGATTCGTTATTAGTTTTGGGTTAATGATTTTTTTTTCATCTCTTTGCAGCGAAGAAAAAACACCTGGGGACCTCGTCAGCAATTGAAGATTGCAAAGGTCACCCAAGTGACCAATGGTTGTATCCCAATCAGATACAATGAGCGACATCAGGCAGCACCAACGGCAGAGCAGCATAGTGCATTGGCCCACAACATTGGGCATGTCGTGCAGACCTTTTGCCCTATGCGGTCAAAGTCTTGGAAGATGATGTCGGAGGAGAAGAAGAACACAGTGCGGAACCAATTATCCGTAAATAGCGTCGCTTTTTAATGATTTTCATGTAAAATTTATATATTTATATTTATTACTATCTTTTATTACTAATACTTTCAAAATATTTGTTACATTGCAAACAAACTACAATTTGGAAGATATAGACGAGGACATGTTCGCATACCTCAATCGGCTTTTCTCCGAACGCTACAAGCAATGGAAGAGTGACCTGCACCAATGTTTCCAGCAATTTGATGATCTGTAGGTCGTTCTCGAGGAGGGTTGTTCAAAGGAGGTGCAAGACTGACAAGATAGTTGGGTTTGGCTTTGCAGTCATTTTCAGGAGCCGGGATATGTGGTTCGTTTTTAATTACGACTTTTTTCATTTTACTATTTTTAATTTATACTAATGTTTATTATTATTATTTTTATTTTTCTTTCAGTATTACAACTAATACGTTTATTTTTGTATAACAGAAGAAGGCGAAGGCGAACAAGATCAATCGGGAGAAGAAAACTCTTCTCCACCATTCAGGTTCGAGGCCTTTCTCCTATAGGATGGAGGCGCGACGGAAGGTATATATTATATCTTTCATTTCTAATTTTAAAATGTTGCTAATAATTTTTTTTTTTCTTACTAACATTTTCCTTATCTTTTTCGATTTTAGGAGGGTTCAAAATTTCCGAAGATCGACGTCTTTGCTGACGTTTATGTTCGGCCTGGGAATGAGTTGACCGAGTCCCTTCATGTAATTTCTTATGCATTCAACATTTATACTAATTATTTCAAATTGTTTTCTATTAATAATCCATGTTTTTTTTTAACAGGCGACTATGGTGGATAAGAGTCAGTTGGTGCTTCAAGAGTCCGCCTCCCAGCTTTCTTCAGACACACCGATTGAGTCTGTGGATCCTCCTGAAGATGCATGGTTTCACATCGTCACAGAGACGTTAGACCTGACTTTCGGTCAGAGGCCAGGGACCTATTGTCGGGGGATGGGAAATGTCAAGCGATGGGAGAGTAGAGCCTCGTCATCATCGCAGTCAAAGGGCTAGGTTACGGCTTTGACACAAGAAGTTGCTGGCCTAAGGAGTGAGCTGGCATCGTACAAGTCTCAAATGTCGATGCTTGCACAAGCCCTCAGTTCCTTCGTAATACATCTCCCCGATTTTTCTGCACTATCGCCTTCACAGCCCTTCCATACCAAGCAAGCACAGCAAACAGTCCTGTCGACCTCCGACCCCGTCCCTAACCAGCAGCAAAATCATTCGAATGACATTCCTATAGATTTTTCCGCTTTTTTTTTTTTTTATAGTTTTGTTCCTACTTTCTTTTAAAACTTTATATTTGTACGTACATTTTTATTCATTAATTTGCTTTTTTTTTTGTCATTAGTATGAAATCTTTTTTTTTTAATTTTCCTTTTATTCTATTTATTTTTTTAATAAAAATTACATTTGCGTGATGGCGAACAGTTGTCGCGCAAAATTAAGAGCGTCTTATAACTTCGTTGCGCATTACCACGCGCCTCTTACATTTTTTGCCACGCAAACTTTTCAAGACGAACTAGTCACAAAGTGTACTTGTACCCTTTTATATTGTACGATGAAAACCTTTGTTTGTATAACTTTAGTGAAACCAGTAGTAAAGCGTTGTGCAATTTTTTTTGTTGTGCAATTTTTTTTTTTGCGCAACGAGTTTGAAAAGTTTCATTGCGCAATGTCTTTTTTCACGACCTTTGCGCGACAAAATGACGCGCGACGATTTTCTGGTGGCCATAGTTTTCGTGCAACCTAATAATGATTTGCGCGACAAAATCTCCCTCGTCCCACAAATTGTTTAATTTAGTAGTGTTAGTTAATTGGTCAACAACCCAAAGTATGTATTTTACTCTCAATTCCTCTTACAATTTTTTGTTTATAAATTATGATTAAATTGATGTCTTGCAATTTCTCTTAACTATTGCCTAATTTGTTTTAGTTTGTAAAATTAGCATATATATACTATGCAACGGTTTCAAAATATGAAAACTTGTCGAGGACAATTATTTTAATTATTGGGAATATGGAATATTATCAATGCTATGTTATTTTGAATTTTGGTTACTTTTCATATATATACTATGATGTTTTGGTTAACAGTTTTGTAACTACTATCGCTTTAATTTTTTTTAATATTTGTGAGAGGCCCCTCCTAACCCGAAATCATGGCTCCACCACTGACTAATTTCATCCAATGTAACTAACTCACTCAACTAATAATTGCCACATGGCATTTTTGTTATTACTGTTATTACATCAGACATCATTAGGTTTAAAATTTTGGTCTCACACGCATTATCATTTTCAAAAACAACAATATTTGTGTCTATCCCATAGGTACACCACCATACACCTCATTTTGCACCAAGATTTGATTAACGTAATTTCAATGTAAAAATGTTATGATTGAACTGTTTATTTTCTTAAATTTTATTAAAGATCATCATACAAAAATTCAATCATGTAAGAGATTGTTAGCCATGAACGAAGACCTCGAGCAAGATAGCCAACAAAGGAAATTTTCAAAACTATGCCAATTTTGGAATTTGCTTTTTCCATCTCCATTCATGGATATTGTGTTTGCTTTTCCTTTGCATGTTTAGGGATGTCATTCGCTTTTTCTCGTCAAGGAATTGTTTATTTGTGTTGCTTATTTAAACTCTCATGTTATAAAGGTGGATGACTCACATGAACTAGGTACTGTCCCACCACTTCTTGTTAGCCAATAAATGTTAAAGATATGCTGCCTACTTTCACATTTTTTCATCTTAGCAGGGAATTATATGCTGTCCTATATAAATGCCTATTAGCTCACAAATATTCCAAAGAAGAAAATACACCATGTATAGTGAATATATTGTAATTAGTGTAAAATATTGCATTAAAGGCCAATCCATGAATTGTGGATCACGGCGTTCTTGCATTAGAATTAGGTTTTTACTTTTCTATTGTATTTGTACGTATGTTCTGCACAACTACCGTTTATCAATATACAAGAAATATTCAGCCAACTTCTTCCTTCATACACTATTCCAAGTAACTTCCTGCTAACTCTTTTATTTTGGAGAAATTGACGCCCGAGCTTGCTACACTGCAATTTCTGTCGCAAGTATTTTTAACATTTTAGACGATGAACTGGTTTGGGATGTTGGAGATTTCATTTGAGTTGTCAGACTTGTCAAGGTGGCATTGCTCGGAACCTGGTTCCAAAGCTCACGGATGGCACACATTTTGTGGCGTGGCAACGATGGTTCTGATCGATGAGGTCAACCGTTTGGATTTGCCGAGATTAATTGATTGGTTGGTGTTTCAACAAGGGAAGGAATATGGATTTAGCGGGAGGACTAATAAACTGGTTGATTGTTGCATTACTACAAAAAATCATGTTCGGTTACTAACGAACAACTTTTTGAGGGGCATGCATTGCAGCTATACATACTTGTATGCTTACAGGAAGAGAAGGTTGGAGTGAGAGACAAACCTGAGACATCGAGGGATTTCTATCACGCTCTGAGTGGTCTTTCAGTCTGTCAGCATGTCTGGTCAGACGCTGATGACTCTGGCGATCAATGCCCAGAGCAGTATTAGGCTCTTTTTCCAATTTGTTGCAACCAATTCATTGCAACCAATTCATCCCCTCTTCTATGTTGTCTCAGGACCATATCATGAAACTTGTAAATTCTTTTCTTGGACATAATTATGTTGGTTAAAGTAACGTGTGTTTTCTGTGCACCGAAGATTGAATTATCATCCTTTGTAATTTTGATGAAATTATAATTTTGTTCGAATCATAATTCTGTACATATATGCGATATATACTCAAATTATGAAGTGTGAAAATGTGAAGGCCTGCAATAATTAAAGCTTTATATACAAGAGAACACTGCTTGTGAACTATATCCTTATTCATCTAACCAACTTTAGTAATAAGTGCAATATTTAAAGTTTTATATACAAGATAACACTGCTTGTGAACTATATCCCTACTTCATCTAACCAACTTTAGTAACAAGTTTATAAATTATGGTTTAGTACGTCGTATTCATTTTCACATATAAGTGAGAGGTATCATGTTCGGCTCACATGGATGATGAGTAATGCGTTTCAAATTTTGCGTTGATCTATTTTCAACTTTTCAGTTAAAGAGTATCCCATTTCCATTTAAACAATATAAATGTTTACAAGGTACATTCAAAATAAAATTGGGGGATAACAAACTAACATGTGTTCCACTTCACTATTTCTCCCCACTCTCACAAACTTGAATCATTTTGTCACAAATACTACTTATTCAAGCGATTATCCAAATGCTTTCTTTGGATCTCAATATATTATATCTGCTTTCCTTTTCTACTAGGCAAATATGAACAAGAAGTAGTAAAGTAGCAACCCTAGCTTTGCTATCTTGCTCAAATGCTGGATCAGCCACCATTCCTAACTATCTGCAGGCGCTGCACGGACTCGATGAAGGTTCTGCAACATTAATATTAATTATGTTAATTAATAATTAATTAATGTATTTTTTTAATTAATTAACATAGAATGTTGGCATTTAAATAAACCAAAAAGAGCATTTTAATTTCTCTTGTATTTTTCCCAACAAATGGAATATTATGGGGATACAAATAGCGTAAAAGAATAATTTATGGTTACATACTGCCAGGGAACATCTGCAGCGAGCAGCCAATCTCCTTGTTTGTCCTGATAAATGAGTATATAATCAGCTGCAGCACCACCCTCTTTGCTTTTGCCTGTATTTTAATTAAATAATTAATTAATTGATGCATACTTAATTGGAGTTCCAATATTATTGGATGTATACTTAATTAAAAATGTTAATATCTTAATAAACTAATTATTCATCATATATAGGAAGAACACTTACATTTGGAAAACATGGTAATCAAGGTGTCTCTGAGCGACTGAAAAGAATGATGCAGATTTATGTCGATCTTCCTCACAATTCCCTCTCCTTCCATCTTCACCTTCACGTACATGGAATTATTCGCTGCTGCTGCTGAGCCATCGTTTTCGTTTTCCTTATAATTATTAGCCATCTGATTATTCTGGAGAGGGTAATACTGATGGTGTTGATCATGATCATGATGCATCTTTTTCCTCCAAGATTTAATTGGTGGCCAACCAACTACATGATTTCCTCCATCATCATTCCTAATTAAGTACATTAATTTGATACACATTAGTCAAATTGATATATCTTAATTAATTAGTACATCGAACAAATTATAAAATTAACTACTAAGGAGAGATTACTCAATGAATCAAGAAAATCAATGATATGTTGGGAATTAAGTTCGTTGATATTAATTGAACTAATTGAGCTTACTCAGACACATATATAACTTGAGTAATGTGCTCTTGCCAAACAAGACGTACTTGAAGTGTTCTTATGACTCTCTAACAATATAACGTATCATATAGTGCATACAAGACGTACTTGAAGAAGTTTAAGTTAATTAGTTATGTGTACTCACTTGATTATGGACCTGCAAGAATTTCTTCTCTTTCGCCCCTTATCATCATCATCTTCCTCATTTGGCTGATCATTCCACAACAACAAAGCCAACATCTTCGATTCATTTCCAGCACCAGTACTACTACTCTTCTCAAAAGCCACATCAAAACTACGCTTGTAATTCCCAACTTGGGTTTTGCTCTCCAAACCCACCATCTCTTTTTTCTCGACGCTGCGATTAACGCCATTCATGTCAAAACCTTTGACAGGACTGTGATGGTCAGGAAGAGCTAGAGCCAGACCTAACTGAAGCTCCATAATATTCAATACAATTAATTAAGATTTAAACACACAATTAATTAAAAATAATACGAAGACAGCTAGAAAATCAAAAGGGAAGCAAAGAGAGATGTGGGGGGCTGATGAGAAGAGAAGAGGAGTATGAGTGGTTATTTATAGTAGTCCGTGTGTGTGCAATTTGAGGTGAAGGAGATGGAGAAGAAGTTAAGGACAGCATGGGAAGTTATGTCGGCTAAAAGCTGGGCAGCGATGCAGACATGTGAGCAAAGAAGTGCACCAACGTGCCACGACCGCTAAGCCTCTAGAGTCCTCAAATGTACCCACCACTCCCACTATTTCAACCTTCATCACAGTTGCTTCTACTACTAGTCATCCCTCTATGTCTTTCTTTCTTCCTTTCCTTTCTTTCAATTTGTCTCCATATTAAGAAAGTGAGAACTTAATTAAGAGGGGAAAGAAAATAAATTAAAGGGAGAGAATTTTTTATGTGAATGTCAAACCTTATGATGGCCAAGTGAAAAACCAATGCAATCAATCCCTTTATTTTTAACTACAGCAAGTGGTCCAGTGGTAAGGGCGCAGATTCCAGCTCCTAAAAAAATAAAAAATAAATAGAAGTCCTGGGTTTGAGGCTCCAAGCTGGTGAGTTTGCTTGACTGTCTTTTGTGAGTCTTCCTAGCCTCTGAAAGGGGTGGATAACCATAGTTTGCCGGCAGTTGTCCCCCTTTTTTTTTAAAAAAAAAATCTCTTTATTTTTATTTATGAGATGGGAGTATATTGTTTTGTTTAACTAACTTGTATTTATTTTATACTTTCTTTAGCATAATATGTAAAACTTTTAAGGTCAACAAAAATGTTCTCTTGATCACTAGGCTATCAAGAAATGCATAATCAGTTGCCTTTTGTTTGATATCAAGGATGAAAAGTAACTTTTGTTAAAGAAGATCAAAGAAATACAAGGGTGAATAATCAATAGGTGTGCTATTTATTGGCCAAATCTAAAGATGACTATAAATCTTTGGTCACCAAGTAACTAACAAATGTGACTCATAACATCATATTATAAAATACGATTGTAAAACATATTGAGTTATGGCAATTGACGTGCTTGTTTCTTATTGGTGACACATTATTTGGTTTAAAAAATTTGATCTCCCAAGCATTACTCTTATTTTTAAGGCCCTAAATATCCTCAAAAAGCATTTTTTTGGAGCAAAATACCATCTGTTAGAAATAAGTCATTAATCCATATTATTTTCGATGCACAAATTGCCCTTGAAAAAGGACTTCACTGGCGTTGGAAACATATATTTTGCGGGAATAGTTGGCGCCAATACTATTAACGACCAATTTTATAGCGTCGCTAATAGTGTGTGTTATTTTCAATTTGTTTGTTTTGAAATTTCATTTTAGACAAGAATCTAACAAATAACGAGGGGTCTTGTGCATCGAAAATAATTTATTTTTAAATAGTTCATCCACATGAGTTTACTTAATTAAGATTTTAAAATAACTTATACTAATTATACATGTTCAATACTAATACTCTAAATATGCATGTCGGGAGAAAGCCGTCAAACACATGATGATGCATGCATGAACGATTCAAACAATTCCCATAATAATTGATACTCAAAGTTTGAAACATTCCCCTTGACCTTGTTCATCTCCACATTAAAATACTAAGTATTCTCTTTGTCGGAGTTTACATATAAACACAAATAGTTATGATATAATATAATATAATCATGGGAACTGAAAGACTATTAATCGAGATCAACAGAGGATCAGCAGTTGCTAATAATTGGACAAAACAACCAACAAGTTGTGATACGTTTGGTATATGTTGGATCCAAAATCCAATAACACAAGTGAAATGTAGGGTTTTGCATTGCAGGAGGCATTGAAGTACGTACGTGGTAGTGGTTTGTTTGCTTAGAATTAAAGGTACATTACGCTTGTGAAGTTCACGTGAGAGGAAGCATGAGGCAGTGCAGGCCGGCATGGCTCGTGTGGTTCGTCGGTTCGACCTACACACTTTTAAGCCAACCTTAATGATGAGTCGTGTCAGTCCTGTCTGGATTGCGCTCGTGTATTCTTGGTGGAACCCAAATATGTACTGTGCTGTTTAGTTCATGTTTCTTTAGCAGCTGGCAAATGGATCAATCAAATTCGACCGACTCAATTAGTTTGATCGGTAAATGAAGATATATTACTGCATGATGAAGGTGATTAAAAGAGGGTTCACTAAGTAGATTCAACTCGTTTAAGTTTATTATGAATTTGATGATGGAGGACTGGAGACGAATTTAACTTAATAATGCTCCATTAAACCTCTATGCATGGTCTTGTTTAGAGCTCGTTTGATAATGCTTTTAATTTGATTGAAAACATTTTTGAAGAAAATGTTTTTGGGCTCCAGAATCACTTGAAGTACTTTCTGCAATAATCACATTGGTGCTTCTTGCAAGTAGCACTTCTAGTGCTCTCCTTGCAAGAAGCACTTAAGTACTTTTTAATATTTACTTACATTTTTACTAAGGATTGGTTCCAAAAATATTTTCGCTAAAAACCTTTCAGCCATTTTAAAATCACTTATAAACAATATGTCCCCAAATAGTCAATTATATTTCTAAAGTGGCGTTTCACTTAAGTATTTAAAAAGTGTGTGAATTAGAAAAGTAAATTGTAATTTCTATTCTAAATAAGAACGACATTTGATGTACAAAAGTGTCAAGAACACTTCTTAACAAGACGCTCCCAGCTTATTAATTAGGTTAATTTTTTTCCATGTAAAATAAGGCGTTGGATCATTTTAAGTACAGCCTATAACTTGTATTTTTTTTTTAACAAATGATATTAACTACACTAAGGGGAGGGGGTGGACTTAGCCTCATAATGAGCAAGCAATTATGTGGTTCAAGTTCGTCTTTGGCGAGAATCGAACCTAAGACCACTCACTTACAAGTGAAGAGAAATACCACTAGACCGTAATTCTAAGTGGCATAACCTCTATCTTATTTTCTCCTTATTCTACTTAATTAGTAACTGAACCAAAATGTCACAGCCCGTCCCAAATTATTTTTTTATCGATGGCGTGAAATGACTAAATTGCCCTTGAGCATTTTGGTGGTGGTCTGTGTTATTGGGCTAAGGATTTGGACCAATTAAAATCTTTCCTAAGTGTTTGGACCCATTTAGGACTTAAGCTTTTTCTTTTTTTTTGGTTGGTAGCCTAAACTAGGACCACACACACACCCAAACAACACCATTGACCCTTCGTTCTCTCATTTTCTCGGATTTTTCTGAAAGTCCGTACAACTGTACGGACAAACCTCAAACCAGACCATTTCTTCACGGATCGACGTCGAGGAGCCTACTTTCGTGTTCCTTGTGAGCTTAGTAACCCATCCATACCTTTCATTGGACGTGAAGCCTTCATTTTCCCGAGAAACCAATAACCCCGATTTTGAGCACTGTTCATGTGATCGTAATTGTGGACTTTTCAAGGAGTTTTGAGGTCCTAAGAAGCTTTAGAACATCTTCACAAAGCTCAGGGAAGAAAGTTGGAGTGTTTTGGACGTCGGGAAGCTTAGTTTGACGAGTTTCAAATTTTGGCCGGATTATCGAGGTTTCTCTGGCAAGATCCCATGGATTTCAAGGCTTGAAAGTGGTAAGAATGTGTTCTACTCACTCTAAGCTTCATGTTAAGACAAATTTCATGGATTTTGGTGCAAAAATGAGTGAGAAATGAAGGTTTGAATATTTTCCAGAAACCGACGATCACAGTGATGCCGGCGACGGTCTCCGGCGAACCAAGGAAGACAAAGGAGAATATTCCGTCAAGTCTAACGAAATATTCTAACGGTGTCAAGTAACGCCGTTAACTTTTTATTAAGGTTTTAACGGAATATTCCTAACAGCCGTTAGGCTTAGTTAGTGTTTAGCCGCGCGTGGGGGCGCATGGGATGTCCAAAAATTATTTTAAAAATATGGGGATGTTCATGAGGTTGAGTAGATCACATTTGTATATTCAAACACCCCATTTGAGCATTATATGAGAAGTTACTAGCTAGTTTTGGTTGTGTGCTTTAAATAATGTTTATATAGCTGTTTCACATATAGGTGAGACCTATCCGGAGGATGAGCGCAGTCAACCAAGGCTCGGGGGTTACGACCTTTCCACATATCCGTGAGTGGGCTTTTGGTTTTCAGTATATACTTATATACTTGGTATTTTTACCAGAAAATGCGTTTAAATGAAATTATGTTTTGAAATGCCATGCATATTGAGTTATATTTAGAGTATGAATTACTATAGTATACATAATGTGATTTGACGTTGTGGACGCTCAGGTAAGTACCAAGTAAGTTGTAGATTGTTTATATGTGAATTGATGATTATGTGAGATGTGTTGAGAATTTATAAACCTACACCCCAGTGTTAGTGCTCCCGCTCATGGCTAGGGCACAGACTTTCATGTGATGTTCACCTCCTTCACCATACGCTCACCTTGGATCCAAGTTAGGTGCACAGTCCTGTCGTACAAACCACTATAGGTTGTTTTGACTCATAGGTGACCCGTGATAATTCGCACAGTCTTCACGTGATCGTAGCACTAGAGCGTATTTATTTATTTATACCAAGTCCTGTCGTACAGACCACTTTAGGTGGTTTCGACTCGTGTGCAGGCATACTTGTTGAGCTATAGATTCAGCCGTACAGGCCATTTTAGGTGGATCCGGCTGATATATTATTTCACCTGAGTTATTTATTCTGTTATTTTGAGTTATTTGGCATGGCATGCTTAGGAATATCGTTTTTTTAGCATGGTTTTGAGATATGTATCTATATTTATACATTCTATTTTCTGGGAAATTATACAGGTTTTACGGCGAGGGGTTAAAACTTTTGTTAAATGAAATGGTTTTGAAAAGCTTTGTTTTTGCCCACTCACACTTTCTGTTTTTCGCCCCTCCAGGTTCTAGTTAGGAGTGCTTGTCAGTGGTTTACTAGGAATTCACGACAACTTTGACAGATTATCACCAATGTAGGATTATCTTTATGGTTGTATAATT